TCAGTGATTCTGAATTCTGATATAAATTACATTCAATTGTTTATGAAATCATCGGTGCAGAAACACACTTTCCCAAAGGAAACTTGGGTTTCAAACTTATATATGTTAGATCAAAGTATACTGAATATGTTTGACTGTACTTTAAAAGCATTAAATGCTGAAACTTTATTAAATGAACAGCTTTTTAAGTGTGTGTGAATGTAACACAAGATCTGCTGTATAAGAAATAAAGATTTTAAAGATAAAGTCATTTTATCTATCATATATGTTCTGCTATTAGAAATTGTAAAGTATCGGGATACGTATCGTATCGCCACCATTGTATCGTGATGATAATCGTCTCGCAGGTTCCTTGCCAATACTTTCATGATATATCGGCTCGCCTAAGTAAACTGGTATCGGGATATATCGTCTCGCCACTTAGACCACGATACACAGCTCTAAAATGGATACTAAAATACTTCGTATGCACCTTGATCGAATTAGATGTAATGGTTTAGAGGTTACTAAGAATTATATTTCCTTCAACTACCTAATAAATAAGAAACAATATACGAAATTTCAAGGACATACAAAGAATTCAAACACAATAGAATAGTTTGAATTTACTTTTAGGCATCATTACGTTGTTATGTTTCATATACTGAAACATAATGTATAAACACAAGTAATTATACATCCAAGCTCGAATAGATTAAACATAATTCAACCTACTAATTTGAAGTTTACTGAATTGTTGCTAGTTGTTTTCCATAATCTAAAGTTCGTAATGTTACCTAAGCGAATATAAAGTGATAAGTCGCGCCTTTGCATCGAATACATATATACATGTCAGTGTGTGGTCCTGTGCGTAGAGCTCAGGTCACAATCAGTTGAAGTTAAAGGTCACATGCAACCAAAAAATCAAACATATTTAAAACACAATTATCACTTATTCATGACATGTAATATGCATTGCTGATTATGAAAAAAACAAATAAACAAAATTATAAGCGTATAATCGCAAATCAAAAGTGCAATATTTTATACTTGGGTTTTCCTCCCTCGAAACGAAGCAGCCGGGATATCGACCCCAGTCAGAGCGGGTGGGTGTGCACTCAAGCGTAACGGCTGGTTCGTCAGCAGATGCCGCCTTCGCGGCTAATTGTGTGTGTATATATAGAAAGTTGGGTTTTGTAAATACATGCTCATTTTTTTTGTGTATAACATTTTGCAATCAACAGACATCATAACATGTCATATGTACAAGTATCACACCTGCCTGTCTGTGTAATTACATAATGTGACAGAGACCGAACTCGGGCCATAAATCAATGCGTTTTGTTTATGGTGTATAGCCTGATTGGTTTTAAGTTCAAATTGCATGTCGTCAGTGATCGCAGTTGTGTATTGAATATTGTCATTAGCAGACAGGCAGGCAGACACACAGGTGTCAATAAAACAAGACATTGAGTTTTGTCTGTGACAGCGACATATCTATATCACAGTTAGAAATTGTGTCAACTCTAAATAATGACATTGCTTTTAAGTATCGAACTGAGAAAGTGACTCGGTAAGAAGAACGAGTGGTGAAATAGACAAATGAAATTATATAAACAGTTTATTTACTGTCATAACATACAAAAAAGCTCGCGCCTGTGAGATATCAACAAAACATTATGAAAATAGCTCACACCAAAGCCTTCACCGAGTATTCACCAGACAGCCCGCTTCCAAGTTGCGCGAACCTATTTCACTGCGCACGTGCTATGAGCGCAGCTCAGCTGTTGAAACCCGTATTCCCCAGAAAAGTCTAGGGAAAATTAGTGAAACGTTTGAACTCCGATTTCGCGCGTTTTTTTTCATCGCGTTATTTTTCATCGCGTTATTTTTCAACTTTATAAGTTGAATTTGCATTTTTGACGCTTTGTTTCGGTAAGTCCATACCGAAAGGTATCAGAATCTGCAAAGTTGTGTTTTACGTTGCATGTGACCTTTAAGCAACGTTGGTCGCGGACAGTCCTCGGATGGGTGACCGTGTTTGGCAGCTTGACTCCTGAAAGTTTCTAGGACTTCAGTCCTGCCCCACAACGAAGCGCATGTGGACTCACCTTAAGCAAGTGAGTTTGTTCAAAATTGCCTCTGTTCACCCAGCAGTAAAATTGGGTACCTGGTATGATACGATGGTAGTCTGAATTTGAACCTTGAGTGCCTGACAGGCGACCGGTTGTATTCTCCACATGGAGTGTTCTGTACTCGTTGACCAGGGGTAATATGTCAGCGCTTTGAGCATGCAATGTGCATGGATAAACGTGCAATATAAATGGACTATTATTATTATTATTATTACAACAATGAACTGTTTTACTACGTTTGTTACAAAAGACAGTGAGTTGGTAATTCAAAACATTGTCACACATGGACAGAAGTAATATCATAAGTTATTACATGTAAGCCATACAAAGGTATTTCAAGCATTTTTGTTCAAGCTGTTGAAAGTTTCATGTTGATTTGAATTGTCAGTTTTCTATGCAATTTACATGAGCATTCTGTAAAACGTTTGTATTTGATCTGTGTAATTATCAAATCCGGTGCAATTATCACGTGTATCAATCAACTCAGTCTCTATTGATCCATCGTCAATGAAAGCTGGATAGTATATCAGTTACGGTATCGATACATGCGTATAATCATTCAAGCAGATTACAGTAATGACATAATTGAACGCCTCTTTCGACCTTGAAATAACAGCCTCCGGTAGAATGCATATGTAGTTACGTCCTTGTTGAAAGGTTTGTCCCGTGACAAGTGTAAAATAAACAGATGCGCTGTTATATCATTGGACATCTTGCTTTATGGAGTCACGCCCCTCTCTGTGATGTTTATACATGCATGCACATCTGTAATCTTATGAACCTCGTTTGCATTCAGTAAAGATATAGGCACGCCCACCTTCATAAATATTGGGGGTTGGGGTGTCAACTGCAACTTTATACACTATAATAATTCAGTATAGTGTCACCTCGTGAATTCTGTAATAGGTGTACTTTAGTTTGGATAGTCATTCGTATCAAGGTGAAGATTACATTTACATGTACTGCAAACCATTATGTTTTATTTACTAGTTGTGTGCATAAAATGTATATGGAAATAAATACTACCTCTACTCAGTGGTTGGATTTCAATCGTTTTGCTTTACTTGTCGAAAAACACTAAAATGAGGACAAATAAACTCGCCAAAGTGACTATCTACTCCTGTTTGTCTTATGTGTACATTTCATACATCGTTACCAGTGTGTATGTTTACAATACACAAACGTTACATGATAGCTTGAGTTGATAAAGCCGAAACCCAGCAAAACGACTGGTCAAGGATATAGCTAATAACCAATCTCTATCCAAGCTGCTGATTGACCAAATGTGCTCTTCAGAAATTTCGCCCACGCCCCGTCACCTGTCCTTTCCTCTGTGACAGGTATCTCATGATACGATTGGTCGCAGATAACATATGACCAGCCACTACATTGAACAGTTGAGATACCGAACGTTCTATTCGGGAAATTTGATGACGCCCTATCACGTGACTCTTTGTTTTATGTCTATGCAAGGAATATGTAGTATACATTTTGTATATGTATGTTGGTATGGTCACGTATGTTTTCTTCTGCATTAAATCTGTATGAAATAAAGTGCAATGCTATGAATGTGCTTTGTGTTAGTCACAGACTAGCGTTATAGTACTTTCATTAAAATAATTCGTAAACACTAGAAATGTATCGGCAAAACCTCTATTTTCGTCGAAGATTATAAAGTATGAAAGTAAATTCTTCTTTACAGTATGTCATTGTGATAGATGTTTTGTAAATTTAAACCTCACACAATGATAAAAGAGAGAGAATTTGTTAACGTCTGACTCATCTGTTACGTACAAAGAATACATGTGTATGCATATTGTGATAAAATATAAATGTACAAGCTGACAAGAGGTCTACAAGAGAACCGTGCAATAAAATTACATAAAGCTTGCAATACACGACATGTATTGACACCGGATTTCTTTCAACTTATATCTTTACGACACAATTAAACAATCAGGACTTGTTTGTACGACTAGACAGTTTCCTGTGATCCCCGAAACCTGCCAGGGAAATCAGGTGTGATTAGCACTAATTAGTCTCGGCACAGAGAGTGGGCAATCAGCGAGGGCTTCCAGGTGTTGAGTAGTGATGGGGCTCTCGGGCTTAATGAGTTTTAACTAATTTATGACGAAATTACTGTATAACTTTTTAAAAGTGATTAATATATTTCTTTAATAGTACATGCACACACATATATATTAAAAATTGTCTTGTCATGGATTTTGTATAAGTTTTTATAAAAAAACCCAAAAAGAACCAAACAATTAGATCCTAGGATTTTCCAGAAATGTGTTACGATTTACTCGTCCTTTTCCTTTTAAAACTGTACGTGATTTACCACACAGTGATTTAATGTTCAATTTCTGTCAAACGGGTGCCCGTGTTGTCCACCTTTAGAAACACAGTAAACCTATCTCATAGTATATCTATTCAGGATATTATTCAAATGGCCATTTCGTGTTCAGTCAAAAGAGCGACCAATTCTGACTAACAAATGGAGATTTTGTATACTTTGAACCAAAATATGGTGAGATGCATACTACTCAACATATCAATGTTGTCTTCTTCACGGATAAATTGTTGGTGCAGATACTGTTGGATCTTTGAAGAGTCAGGCTCTCAAATTCTAAATAGAAGACATGTATTTCAGGGAGATTTATTTAGTCCTCTGCTCTTTCAACTCATTTTACTCACAGTGGATAGCATTGACCTTCATTGCCAGGGGAGAATCCACTCTGAAAAACAAAGCATATTATCCGTCAACTCCTTTTTCAACGAGATTTTATGTCCTTCGACTTATCCATCTCACCCAACCCAGGCTTATTGTGTGAAACACATCTCAGCTGTGAGTTTCGATAATAAATACTTTTAATTTATTTATAGGTGAGGTGCCCAAATTCATGTCATGGCCATGTGGATGAGGATTTATGGAACAGTTGTGTTTTTATGCTGTAAGTAACTCTGAATGTTTGAATACGTAATTCTTTCGTGTCATCCTAAATGCAACAAAAGCATGATTTTAATGATATACATATATACATATATACAATATATTTTCACCCATGGGCTCAAATGTTTTCCGCCCATGGGCGAGCTTTCTTAATATCGCTCTAAATTAGTTCAATAAAGTCAAAATAAGTTGAAATTTGTGTCATGACACTTATAAACATACACTCATTCATTTACAAACTCCAAAAAATGGGAAAACATGTATTTTGAGTAAAATTTAATATTCTCGCCCATGGGCCAAAATGTTTTCCGACCGACGAGATTTTTTAATATTGCTCTAAATTAGCCGATTTAATTAAGAATTGAATGTCAGTTTGTGTGTTTGCACTGAAAAATGAACGATGTCAAAGCGGTGTTCAAACTCGTGTGAACGAGCGAGTTTGAACGCTTTGACATCGTTCATTTTTCAGTGCAAAACACACAAAGTGACATTCAATTCTTATAATTTCGCGACTTTGAAGTTTACACATAATTTTCCACCCACTTGTAGATGATCATTGTTTAGTGTGTTTTAATACCTGTAAAATGTTGTAATGCCATTCGGTTCAAGAGCGACGCGTATTGCAGCGATGTTTGTATACACAGCGATTTTTTTTACACATGTATCCCAACCCTTGAAGAAATAGTTCTCAAAGTATTCGATCTTTAAAATATAACAACAAATTCGTTATGAGGTTTGAAACTGCTTTAATAAGTATAATCAATAACAGTATCAAACAGAAACAAATATCAGAAGCAATAACAATACCATTTTAACAAACTGGCATTGTACCTTTTCACTTGTAAATACCTTGTTTGACCAATAATAATACACTGACCGACTTCGAAGTTGTGCGGCGTGGCGAATAGGAAACAGATCTTGTTGTATTCTATTTATTTGTGATTGTTTATTGTGAAATTTATTGAGCAGTTGTTAAACAGACCTCGGGGCAGAAAACTGCCGGATGAACCCGCAAACTGCGAGACATTAAACTCCTGTGAAAAGGAACAATGTTCGGCAATCCGTTTGGTAGTGACATTGCCAAACTTGGGGTGAATTGAAACAGGTTCGTTCGCGAAATTGGTATCACCAATTATTGGGGGTCCTTGAAACCGAAGCGAAAAACATTCACACACGTATGAACGGTGTTTACACAAGTGTGAACGATTAGAGGGGTTCAAGAGTAATGAACCTTGAAATTTAGATCACATGACCGCTCTCTCAACCAACCAACGTTCGGGAATCTGTGTAAACTTGAAAGCACGAAATTATATCAAAATGATTTGAGATTTGTGTCATGATACTTATGAACGAACTTTCATTCATTTACAACCTCTAAAACATAGAAAAACATTTATTTTGAGTAAAATTAAATATTCTCGCCCATGGGCGAGTTTTTTTAATATCGTTCTAAATTAGCCGAATTAGGTCAAAATGAGCTGAAATTTGTGTCATGGTGCTTATAAACATACACTCATTCATTTACAACCTCCAACACATGGAAAAACATGTATTTTGAGTAAAATTAAATATTCTCGCCCATGGGCCAATATGTTTTTTGCCGGCGAGATTTTTTAATATTGCTCTAAATTAGCCGATTTAAGTCCAAATGAGTTGAGATTTGTGTCATGATGCTTATAAACATACACTCATTCATTTACAAACTCCAAAACATTTTTTCATCCTTAGCATATCTTCATAACAACTGCATGTTTAATTTGGTCGAATCCCTTGTCAGAAAGTGTCCACAATGCGGAGAGTTTCTGGACTTTTGTGAGCATATTCCAGCAATATGACAGCGGGGCATACCAGAAATGGGCTTCACACAATGTACCCATGTTTATAATCGGACCACTAGGCTACCCCTCTGCCCCTTGAGGAAATACATTTCCACACAAACTCTAATTAACACGGTGTGTTTAGTCAAGAAAGGTCATGCGATGTTCTTTGTTTGTTTATTGTTTACTGATGTACCCTTCATGTTTCTGGCTATATAACCACAGCCTACATGTAATTAACCGATCTTGACCAGACAATCCAGTGACTGACTTACCAGCATTTATCTACGCGTTAACAGTATCATGCATCATCTAAATCAGCGCACCAGTTGAAATAGTCGTAGAGTAAATATTTGCAGAGTTCAAATATGATTTGATATTCTTTTGAGACCTGTAAAGTTCCGGGTTGGAATTTGCCTTCAGCGACCCATGCTTGTCGCAAGAGGCGACTAACGGCATCGGGTGGTAAGGCTTGTGACTTGTCAACGTGTATCCCAAATGCGTAGATCGATGCTCATGCTGTTGATCACTCGATTTTCTGGTCCATTATTTACAGCTATAATATTGCTGTGTGCGGTGCCAAACAGCAATCAAATCAATCCTTTACCTTACAAAAATGACACATTTGTTTGGACATGACCCTCGAGAGTGAAGTATGGTTTGGTTGTAGTATCTTTTGACTTGGCTGTTATCGTCACCTTCAGGAACACAATGCAACTTGCCACAGTTGTTACGATGACGACTTTGTGTCAGATCGACATCCAACCTTTGGACGTGATATACATAATAATCTCTCAATTTAAACCACCCGTGAAGGTCGGGGTTAGAATATTGGCCTTCAGTAACCCATGCTTGTCATAAGAGGCCACTAACGGGGTCGGGTGGTCAGGCTCGCTGACTTGGTTGACACATGTCATCGGTTCCTAATTGCGCAGTTCGACGCACATGCTGTTGATCACTGGATTGTCTGGTCCAGACTCGATGATTTACAGACCGCCGCCATATAGCTGGAATATTGTTGAGTGCGGCGTAAAACTAAACTCACTCACTCAATTTAAACAAAATATAAAACACAACATCTGGATATAGGTGGTACTTGAATAGATTACTAGTATCTGTATGCCAAATTATTCATTGGGAGTCATAACAAGCCGATGAAATCAAGTGTGTAACACTTACATCTGTTCATTTCTAATTTCATTGGGATACTGAAACTTTGTTCCCCCAAAACATTTATCTGTGTGGAGCCAAAGCATGTAGGCGGATCTGCCAGGGTGTACGAACCATACACCCCGTCAAATCTGTCACGTGACACTCTGTAGACACTGGTTGCACAATGACTTGACCTCAGATGGAATGTGGCTGCCAAACGGCTGATCGCTTGGAAAGTTTAGAGTTGCCGTATAAAATTATGAGTATAAACAGAGATAAAATTGTAGCCATCATTTCGTATTTTTTGTGCCAATAGAAATATAAACAAAATAAGATGTTTCTGTATTTCACTTGTTCGTTTTATCATAAATTGAGTCATTTTTAGTTATCTCCCTTTATGACCGTTCAGGAAAAATCATGGCAAAACGTTTTGCGGTTCATTCTGTCGAAGATTGAATGCTGGTTTTTAAAGATATGCTAGGGCGCCACCTTGCAGGCAATTCGTCAACACGCACGAATTTGAACTCCGGTCAAAAAATGCAATTTGACTGTTTCGAAAATGCTAACACATATTCGTCGACCAAACAAACTTCGCAAGTTACACGGGAAAACAATGGGGTGCGATGTATGTGTGTTCCGACAACGTATAGGCTATTCCCAGTCAATTTTTATTGGCTTCATGCCGAGACGAGCTCGTAGCAAGGCAACCATGTTTTACCCCGTGCTGCACGTGCTGGCGTGCTGCCGGACAAGACTGAGATTGTGTTTATTTCTTGCTCCCCTTCTCTCCTCGTAACCAGCAATGCTGTGGAGAAGAACCCCGGCCCGCCGTAAAAAAAACAGACTACTATTGAAGGTGACTCTGTGTCTCCGAACTGGTGAGGGAAATTAGAGAAATGCGACAGGAAATGAACAAGAACTTTGAAAAACTGAACTTAAAAATCGAAAATGTGGAGAAAGATCTGGACTCACTATAAGGAAGGAAAACGGTGAACTGAAAGGTGCTGTGGCGAACCTAACGAAAATGGTTAACGAGCTAAAAAGCACTACAAAAATAAGTTGGTTTCCGGAACACTGAAACTAAGAAGAAACGACATGGAAACCACCAGTTCCAGTTGGTTTCCATGTAGTTTCCTATAGTTTCATTGTGGTGTACATGAAAACTGAAACTGAATTTTGCACCATTTCCGGCTGGTTTCCAGTGCGTTTCATTACCCACTCCTCCAAGCTGGATCCAGCTGGTTTCCGTGTTTTCGTTTATTGTAGGTTTCAACCTGGTTTCCGTTTTTTCTTTTATTGTAGGTTTCAACCTGGTTTCCATGTTTTCGTTTATTGTAGGTTTCAACCTGGTTTCCATGTTTCTGTTTATTGTAGGTTTCAAAGGACCTGAAACATATTCAGTTTCACATGAACTGATACATTTAAACTGAACATAACTTTATAACTGTATCAAATAGCTCTGAGAAAGTTTACCCTGATCACAAAGGGTTTGTGCGCAGTGTTGAAGTCAAAACGAAATCAGGTGTTTCAAAGTTGTGTTTACTGCTTGAAAGTGAATGTTGACAATATCAGTTTTCAGTTCTACTGCTGAGCTAGAGTAGGAAGTGTACATTTGATAACTAACTTAACCAGTGGATATTTTAGGTTTATTATGCAACCATAATGTGTGTATGAGTGTGTATGTGAGTGATTCACATTCTCAGAGCTATTTGATGCAGTTATAAAGTTATGTTCAGTTTAAATGTATCAGTTCATGTGAAACTGAATATGTTTCAGGTCCTTTGACGCAGTGTATGTTAGTATTGTAATTGCTGTTTCAGATATGCAATGCGGGGAAAGATTCTAGTACTTTTTGTTGAGTTGAGTCCCATCCGGGATTCGGGATTCCAATCCACACCCTCAGAGTCAGGCACCTAATCGCCAGCACACAAAGTCAGCCGGCTAACCCGCTCCCAAACAAAATGAAGTCGGACAACTGGTAGTCTTTGTGTACCCCTCTGATAAGTGTAAATGTTCCCAACAAAAAAGTACTAGAAATCTGAACTTAACTAAGTAAGTGTAATCCCAAATATGACATATGTTACAGTGGTAGAGTTTCCGTAACAGGCTGAGTATCAACCGTAAGAATGATTTTCACACAATTGCTGGTTTTCGTGTAACTTGAGATGTAAAGTGAGATGTGACGCAATCTCCAACTGTCAACTGTCAGAATATGGTAGATAGCCAATAGACTTGTATCACCCTGTAGTACCTTCCAGATCTGTATGAACAACACTGAGACATAGAGGATACTAAACCACCTTCCGTGTAATACCATTTGAAATTAAACGAGTTAATGGTTTAGAATCAAACGCGCGAAAGCGAGTATGATACTAAATCTTTCACGCGTTTAGAATAAAAAAAATAATGGTATTTCAGGGAGGAGAGTTTAGTATTCTGGGCCCCTATTCTCGAAAGGATCCTAGCCCTAGGATAACTGAACTTTGATCCTAGGGTCTAGGATAGGTGTCCTACATTATTCTCGAAAAGTATCATAGCGGTAGGATATCCTAACAGAGGACAAATACTAGGATAGATTCTGACTTGTCCCAAGTCTATCTTAGTGAAAATCAACTTGGTGTGGTATTGTTTGTGCACCAATTTTGACGTTGTCAAACAAATAACCCACATAAATAAACATATATAAACACGTAACAATATTTTCTTCTGGAAGCATGGTAATTTGAACAAATAGATATTAAAAAATATTAGATGTTTTAAATCTATTCGAGTACGAGTTCACTCTAGTTTTCTGGATACAAGATATGAGTTTTACTTATAACTATAATTAAATACAATTTCTTATAGATCTAGTAAGTCCATCAAAAGCTGAATTTCACAGCTTTCAAGATTTTTACTTTGGTTTCTTCATTCCCCTATATGCTTTAAAACGGTGTAAGAATCTATACCGAAACGTCGCCATTGTTAAAATATAGAAGTTGACCATCCATAAAGTCTTGTCATCCCTATACCACCAACTTCTAGAATGCCACTCAAACAAATCATTGAAGTATATGTCTGAAAGGGTATGTTATCTGTGGTTTGACAAAACTTGAAATGCTGATCACCTTCAACATATTTCAGATCTGACTGTTCAAGGTGAAGAGGTATGTGAGCCTGGAAAATATGGGGATGGTTGTAGTCAAAATTGTTCTCAAAACTGTCATCCTCTTCCAAATGGCATAGTGCTCTGTGACAAAGAAACTGGAGAATGCTTCGAAGGATGCAAAGTGGGTGTGTACGGTGACCAGTGTGATGAACCGTGCGGCAAACATTGCCTAGGAAACATCTGTAATCAGTACAACGGACACTGTACTCTGGGATGTATAGAAAATCACATCGGCGTCTTCTGTGAGATTTACAATGGGATTACCATCGTCCATCAAGGTTAGAGAAGTTTAAAACATTAATTCAAACGAAAGGAAGCTGAACATGTAATGTGAACGATGACAAATGTGAAATTCTCTTTCCAATATTATCTTGATACACTTAATGCAAAAGCTGTATTATATTTTAATAGATGTACAATGTCCAGAGTGTCATTTGTAGAATGTTACCAAGATGTGTGGAACTGCTGAACCGCTATCGTCCCTTCTGTTTGTTATTCAACGTTGAGGACTTTGTATGTATAAGTTCTCATTAATGTGTTTATATATCACTATGTAGGTACTACCTCTAGCAGTCACACAACCGTTACCCCAGGTGTGGTACCGACATGCAGTTGCCAGGTCATCATTCAAGTTGTAACAGTACTTAACCTTATCCTTGTGGGCGCAGTGGTTATCTTCATATGGTAAGTTCTAACAAACTCTTTGTTTTGTTCATTTGCTGTTTCTCTCCAGTTGGCAATATGCAAGTTTTATGATAGTAGCCTGTAATTAATTCATCTCCAGACAGGTAGAGGATACCAAACGGCCTTCCGTGTAATACCATACTTATTATACGAGTTTAGATAAAACTGGTATTTCACGTAAGCAATTTTAGTATTCTGTCTATTACTCTCAAACATAAATTGATAGAATCTGCCTACAGTGGGATGACTCTCAGCAAGGTTCAATACCACTGTGATAGAGGTAATAGCAGTGGGACGTCATAACTATGATGTGATACGCCTAGTTTATATTACACTAGTGTAATATTGCCGTGAGAAATAGTACACCACATTATCTTCCACTGGCGAGTAATAATAACTGACAGTCAACCAGACAATCCATATCATGGACATCGATCCACACAACAGGCACAGAGTGACAGCATCAGCCATATTAACCAACCGATCCTATTAATCGGGACAAAATACAGACTTGAACTGAAAATCCCGCTTCATTTAACAATCATTGTGATGTGCCTCTCTGGTCAAGGATAAGAGTGACCTGTGTGCCTTGATGGGAGAATCCTTTGGCTGTTATCGTCAGGTTCAGGGTCACCACTTGTGACAGTTGATATTAAAATGAATTAGTAATTGGGAAATATCCAGAACACTCGGTTTTCATTAAACATGATTTATCAAGAAGGAAATACACAATGTGGAGTTACCTCCGATAGATCAGTGCACGATCTGCGACAGTGAATAAACCGTAACCACAATTAACTAAACACATCATGCACACTGTAAAACATTCCCACGTAAATTTATGACGAAATAACTGGCAGCATGGTTGCCAAACTTTTGTCGTGAATTAACATTCGAAATGTAAATTGTAATTTACAGTGATTCCGTAATTTAACAGACATTCTGTAAATTTATGACGAAATAACTGGCAGCATGGTTGCCAAACATTTGTCGTGGATTAACATTCCAAATGTAATTTGCAATTCACAGTCCTTCTGTAAATTAACATTAATTCTGTATTTCAACATGAAAAGGAAAACACTAAAACTACACGAATTTCTTGAAATACATAGAACATGACAAAGAAGGAAGGTTTGCGAATTTTTATTATTACATCTGGAACAATAAGGTGTGTCAAATAGTGTAATTAACACCATGAAAGAAAAGTTAAATCATGCAAACAGCAATTAAGTCTTAGTACATCATCATTTAGTTATGATCCATAAAGTCTAGTGATTTAAATCTCAACATGATGTACTCAATACAAATGCAAACAAACAGCCTGTTTGCAATATATGAAAGCTAATTTCTCTAATAGCAGTAATTTAGTATGATTGTAGGCAACTAGCCTGTTTGCATGGTATGCAAACTAATGTCACTAACAGTTGCATAACTCAATACCAACACAATTGCAACAGATTCATTTATAGAAACATATTATGTCAACTGTTTCAATGAACAATTTAACTCTATATGCATCTTTCTGCATTCTTGCACACCATCAGAGCCATGTCAAAACTAAGATAATTATAATGCTGTCTCACTTGCAATGAATCTTTTTTACATGAAAAGTGCTGCTCACCAGATATTTTCCATTATACCTGACAATTCTGAAACCATCATTTAAGAAAATGTTGATGATACAAATGTGTCATAGTTCTAAATAGTCTCATAAACATAAAGCTCTCTTCAGACAAGACGTTCATGGGTGGACAGACAACACACTATGCCAAAACTTCACTTTGACCTGAGGTGCCACTAAAAACAAACTTACAATAACTGGTTCACAATAACTTTGGAAACCTTCCACCAAATAAATTGTACATGAATCACCATGTCCTTTCAGTCAAGTGAGATAACAGTAACAACAGTCACAGTTCACAACTTAACAGGTAGTCCATTCAAAATTCGCCATTTGGTTGATAAGTCGCAGAACCTTGGCATTTACACTTTCAGCACAACTAGATTTCCTTTTTCGGTCACTCTTGCTGCCCCTGTCTGGGTTGATTCCAACGAAACATCTGAAAGTAAAACAAATAGTCTGTGTGTGTTATTTCATAGAAACAATAACCATGAAGCAGATTCAGTGAAGATCAGCATAAAATACTAATACTTCTATTGCAAGCTGAAAACCCTGACCACAAAAGCTGACTTGTACTTGCCAAGGATCAATGACACTGAATAAAGAAATGGCCCGCAATACCTTTAGCTATCTCGGTACTAGTTAGTAGGGTGGTGCTACTATCAAATGAATAATAGAAGCAGTGATTATCATTGGATATTATTTTCCATTTGTTCAGATGGAGTAGGAAAAAGAAATCTAGTAGTAAAAACTTTTGTTTAAAACCATTGAAATGTGTCAAACATGGAAAAGGTTCACAGGTTGTGTTCTGACAAATGTATTGAATGAATTATTGAATCTATTATGATTATATTTTGGAAATTTACTAAACAAACAATTTCAATTATGTGCAAAATTTCATCCAGAAATATTGAACCTTTGTGACGGGATAAAAATAGATAACTTATTTCCCTTAGCCATTACAATATAAAATGAACATCAATCCAAATTTCAGAATGATCTCTAAAAACATTAACTTTTGAGATCAAAGAAATTTTTATGAGAAAAACCAAATCTCATTCCTTTACAGTCTGCTTCCTCAGGCAGATTTTAGTAGTAGAGCCACAAAGTCAAATACAGTACATGGCTTGATTAAAGAGGTGTTAACCTACTTCAGGGGTGGAAATAACTTTAAAATTGCTAGTGTACTCCGGTACAGTGGCACATGCAAAAATCACTTGCCCTGATAATTTTTCCACTATACCAGCTGTTTTCTTGTTGATTTTTTACTTAAAGAACATAATTAACATTGGAAAGTCAACTGGACACTGGTACAGTGTCATATACAAATTTGCTTGCCCGACAGAAAAAAACACTGGACTCGGGCGTCGGGCGTCGGGCAATGGGTTATTTCCACCCCTGTACTTGCACCAGGTGCAACCTAAGAAAAAAACTAGTTGCACCAGCCTAATTCCAGTTGCACTGCTTTTAGTGCAATAGTAATGAAATAAATATACTATTGAATTGTTCAAAGTTTACATAATGACATAATTATGTTTGTAATGTTAGACAAATAACTAGGTTGCACTTTGCAATATTGGGTTGCACCAGTGCAAGTAACTACGCACTAAATCAAGCCCTGCAGTACACTTTCATCTATAACAAGCAACATTTTCATAGAAGCTATTTGAATCACCCAAAACTGAAATTTTGTAGTGAAATAATCACGAAAAGCAATAATTGGCAAGTGGTACGCACCTTTGTATGAATTCTAAGGTAGCTGATGCTCCATGTTGGTACTGAATGTTCAGAATGTAAAAGAGAGCAAACAGGGCACTAAGGGATGTTATAAAGCTTGTAAGGTCAGACATCACCACCACTCTGTCAACCACAATCCTGAACTTTTTGGCCTCCATAACACTCCTGCCTGTAACATGAATGATACATGCAAATATATGTTTCTTTTCTATTCGTTATGTTCTAAACTTTGATACAGTCATTCTACCAAAGTACAAAATTAGTTTAGAAATTTTGTTTATCTGAGAACTCAGGGTAAAGACTCAAGAGTGACTGTGTATCCCTTAGATAATGCGTGCTTTTCTTGAATCAAGCGCTAAGAGAGAGCTTTTGCCCCAAACTGGGTTATTGCTGTACAAGCTATATTACTCATCTCACACAAAATTTACCAGAGCAAACTATCCGTGGCAAGCCATCTGTGTCTGCAGCTTCAACTTCAGCTCTGGTAAACGTGTCCTGGAAGGTACATGTATAACAATATATTCAGTACCAAAGCAACACATGAAGTTCATAAACATCTATCCTTTTCAGCATGTTATTAAATAAATCTTGCTGCAGCTACTACACTGTGAAAAGACACTAAGCTTTTGTTCTTGGATAGGAGGCTGGTTTTCATTGGTAAGGTTGGACATGTTACCCATTTTTGTTTTCTAAAATACATATCATGACAAGGTTATTCCCCAAACACCCAAAATTGTAAAACGACTAATAACTAAAGAAGTTCTAAGTTCTTACATCAACTGTCAAGAAAAGTTGTTCTTCTCTGAGAAGTACTTCATGATAGCAAGGATATTAGCAGGTAGCCAAGCAATAACACTGTCCTTTGCACTTTGAGCTTTAGCCTCTTTTGATCAGCTTCTTTACAAATACCAGATTCTTCTGTTTTAAAAAACTTGTTCAGTCTGTGAGCTTTCTTAGAAAAAGCTTCGCAGATTGTGTTTCTGATATCCAGCCAAACCAGTAGCTTGAAGTGGAGAAACAGACCCCTCTCTGTGAATAAAAATGTTTTTTTTAGTCAACAGATCCCTGACGCTTTCTCCTTCGTTGATATTGTATCTCTGTAAGCTGTATGTATCACGAAATTGAGTTTCTATCATCTCCCAATCATGATCCTTTGGATTCTGATTGTTGTACTTTCTGCACATGTCTTCTCTAATTTCTTCCAAACTTTCTGCTGTATCGCTGTTCAAACTTGGTGAAAAGTTCATGCATCCATAAGAATCAACTTTCTTCTTTGACGTTTCTCCCACAACTTGGACTTCCTGAGAATCATTTCTGTTCCCACTTGATTCTCCTACGTCACTTGTCTTCACACCCATCTTCACTCCCATTGGTCTATTCAGATTGTCATTTCTGTTAAGGAGCTGTTTTGCAAATGAATCATATCCTGTACCTACAACGATATCTTCTATCCTATCCTCTAGACTCTTTGGAAACCTCTGTACAATTCTCTTTGCAATGACACTGAACTGTGTTTTTGTCGCATGAAAGGTCCTCTCTCTGATTTCATCAACAATGATTCTTCCCAGTTTTCTCCTGGCATCAGGCATTAGTCTTTTCCCTTTCTGCAATGGATCTGGTGGAGGAAAGAAAGAGCATATCG